GTTTAGGGTATAGGATTAGGGTTTAGGATTTACGGTAGGGTTTAGGCTTCATCATTCCTTCTTGTGCACTTGTCTTAGTCCATGCAGGAGGCTGAACCCAATAATCCAGGTAAACATCTCGCCTGCCCAGGCATCAAAATCAATTGCACTTGCTCCAAAAAAAGCCTGCCATGACAGAAACTAAGGATGATGCTTGCAGTCCGCCTCTCATCTTCCAGCTGTACCGCTCGTTCTGGGCATATGCATACAACTCCACGGCCTTTGAGGAGCAATGCAGATGCAGCACTCGAACGGGCGGGCCACTCACTACAGGCCCACGCCTGGTCGAACTCGGTCAAATGTGAGGCGCCGTTGACAATGATACAGTTCAGCACGCACATTGGCACATTCTCGACGTATCTCCCAGGTCAAAGCCATGGTGGGACAAAAAAAGCACTGAAGCTTGTTACGATGAACATCTCATGTCTGGGTGAGATGGCGTCATGTCTCCGAGCGCCTGCTGAAGAGCACCACTCCAAGACAGACCACGACCTGTGCTGGTTCATCGCACAAACCGAGTCTTTGTCCAGCTAGCTAAACAATGCTGCTCAGCCGTCACTTCCGTTTGATTTCGGCTTCGGTTCTGTTCCGTCCTGAAGTTTATCGTTGCTTACAATGTGCTGTTTGCACACTGTGATAGTAATGCCTATAAGTGTTTCTACATCGATCAAGAGATTGTTACGGATGTGTGGGGCTGCGCTTCGGCATCCCCCTCCACAACTGAATTCTCTGACACCGGAAACGGAATGCCGGCACGTTGCTCCAACGAGAATGTTGGCACCGAGCTGGCTCTTGATACCCGCCTCCCAGAGCCATTTTGGGCCCAAGTTACAGCTACACGGAGCTGACGCTCTCGGCCTGGTGGGCGATCCCCATGCCTCGACAAAAGGGCGTCTCAAAGGGTGTCTCCGGCCCTCTCCGCTCCACTCCCTTCCGAAAGGACGCTCTGTTCCGCCCAAGGGACGGCTGAGGCCCACCTGTGTTGGCACAGAGCCAAAGAAGGCGCCAAGGAAGTTTGCGAATCCTAGCGCCATGAGCTCGTTGAAGGCTCGGATCTGGTAGCCATCCTTGAGCATTGAAGCAGCGACTGCAGGGACCGCACTTGCAGATGCAGGGTCTTCCGCATGCTGCCTTCATGGCAAACTTCTTCGCTCCCGCAAAGGACGAAAGGAAGACGACGAAAGCTAGGAGAATGGCACCGGGGACCAGCTCCTGTGAGAGGGGTGCATCTACTGAGCGCATCCTACTGTAGCCAGGTGTTGGAGAAACACATGTGGCTGCTACAATACGTTGTGTCGACGTCAGTCCTACGGAAAGTTCAGCTATCCTACACTCGTTATGAAGCCAAACTCATCCATGCGATGCCGTGCCTTCATCAGCTGCAAATCTGCAGCGGAGGTTACCTAAATGCAGGAACGTCAAGATTCCGAGCGTCTGATTAATGAAGCGGAGGCTCATGTCGTTTTACGAGTTTTCGTCTGACGAGCGGCTGGAAACGTTAGTTTCGGCAAACCGGAGGGAACCTTGCCCACGACGCGGATGCGATCGTCAGCCTTGGCCTCACACATGCGCAGAAAGAAGCACTGCACGAGATACAGCCTTGTGCTCACGTCAGCTCACAGTCCTGCTGGTTGTAGAAAGTGCAGAAGACTGCTGAAACTGCCAGCATGACCTTTGCAAGGGTCGCAATCACTGTCCACTGACACATCTGGCCGGTCCATCAGCTCCAGTTGCGGCTCTAGCAGCCAATTCCTTGAAGTCACTGAGGAACTTCAGGAAGCGCACCTGAAGGAATGACTTCGCTGCCCCACGATCATGAGATGCCATCAATGACACGACTTGCACTCAGAACCCACGGCCAAGGCTTTCTTCCCAAACCTGCACACAAACGCAATTCATCCCCCCCCCCCCCCCCCCCGCGAAGATGGCCAAGGCGCTGTCTTCAGTCTCTTGGCATTGAGCAGGAATAGAAGCGTGAAAGTGCTGAGGCAGAGCGTCGCGGGGCTGGTCATTTCGAGGTAGGTCAGATGATGCCTGCACGCTGTTGTAGCTTGAATGTGTCTTGAGCGGCACTTTCTTCTATGCAGAGTTCGCATTGCACTGCCCTAAACCCCTAAACCCTAANNACCCCTAAACTGTAAACCCTAAACCTGTCTGAATCCAGTCTACGGTTTACGGGTCAAGGGCCTGACGATGTTCACGATGCCTCCCTTGCTCGCCCAGTCCGGAAGCCCCAGCATCGGAGCTACCTGGCTAGGCAGCCATGCTTGTGTCAGCGAGAGAGTGCTCGGAAAGCGCGCACATTGAAGAGCTCAGGGGTCCTGCGACAGCATGATCAGCATGGCGCTGGCTGTTATGAAGCCTCGGTTCAGTAAACAGAGCACCGCCCTCCACCACCGTGGCACGGGGATTCCCTGCCCTGCGGTAAGCTTGCCAGGACGCCACTCAAAGCCGGTCGTGATAGGAAGCGAACGAGGAAGGCCAGCTGCAAGACGCCCATCAGCGCCATGATCAGGCCTGGGTCAGGGCACTGAGAACCCCTCGGTGGCATGGGCTCTCAGCTTCAGCTCATGGCGATCACCCTCAGAACTTTTCTTCTGCGAGTTTTCCCTCTGAAATCCGCAGAAGGATGCATAAGCTGTCAGGCGAGCCAGGGCCCATGATAATTTTAATGATATAGATTGGCCTGGCCGGGGAAACGGAGGTCATGAGGAGAGGTTGAGAGGCAGTCCCCGCATGATCAACAGGCTCACCGTGGTAGCCGTCTGTTTCTCCGAACTGGCGGAAGAGAACTCGTGCTGTCCGTTCAGGCCTACGATGACGTCGTCAACCTGGACTGCCCATCCTTGCAGGCCATTTGACTCCTGCATCCGGTTCCATCTGTCGATAAAGCCACCTTCGAAGATCCTGTGCACGTGCGCTGCCGAGTGGTGTGGGCCTGGCAGTGCGTATCCGCCATAGGAGTTACCCATCACTTGCTGCTGCATGATCTGCGGCTTCCAGCCGTACCCATCGTCATACCGCTGCTGCGGCGGCCAGGAATAAGGGTCTTGAGATTGGTCGAAGTCCATTGACTCGGCCGAGCCTGTTCCAGCGGATCTGCGTACGGCCTTTTGGTGCTTCTTGCCGATCTCGTGATCAGCCCACTGCGTCGGTTCATTTAGCCACATGTGGCAGTACTTGCAGAAGATGGCGGGGTCATGCTCATCACTCGGAAATCGCCGATCTGGGTCGAAGTCCTGGTGCTCGGACGGTGCGGATCCCTCCAACTGTGAAATACTGTCCCGGTCTGCCTGCGTATCTTCCAGCGGGTCTTCGTCGATGCCCTTTTCATACGTCCTCTTTCCAAACGCTTCTGGCGGTGCCGGGATCTTGGACTCCGGAACCGACAAGTCCGCATACTTGCCGGATCTTTCTACCTGCTGTCTGCGGACAGCTTTGCGATGCTTCTTTCCAATCTCGTGATCGGCCCACTGTGCGGGGCTGTTCAACCACATCTGGCAATGCTTGCAATAGACGGCGCCATCATGCTCGACAGGTTGGTTCTTGTCCATGTCGGATTGCCGGCCATCCTCTGGGATGCTCTCTGACTTCTGGTCCATGTCGCTTGCTTCGGAGCTGCCGGGGTCCTTTTCCAAGCCGAGGTGGATTAGCAGGCTTCCTGGCGTGGACCCGATCACCTCACGGGAGCTGGATCCTTCTTCGACCTCCACCATGCAAAAGTCATTCACATGGAACTAGGCATCCATGTCGAGGCTCCCTGCCAGCTCTTTCGACAGCGAATGCTGCTGTGGAGTATCCGCCTCAAGGACCTTCTCGCAGTGAACCTGCAGAAAGCCTCCCCGCAGCTGCTGGAGACCGTTGGTGCTCATGAGGGCAGGAACCTCTCGGTTCTTCATGAGTTCGAAGATTGGTCACTGTCTTGGTAGTGCTGCAGTATGAGCTGCTCTTCCTCGAGGTACTCCGAATCCATGGTAATGGCACCGATCACGGCCAAGAAGACGTCACCCAAAGCCTTCGGCGCTCCGAACTTGAAGAGCTGCTGGCACTTAGACTTGACGCCTCGCTCCTTCTGATCCTTGGCCTGTGAGAGCTTCTTGAACTCCTTGGCGAAGCGGTTGATGGCCTCCTCCAGCTCCCTGGAGTCTTTGTTCATGGATTCGTGAAGCTCGATGAGGATGGATCTCGCAGCGTAGCTGACGTGGTTGCAGCAGACCCAAATGCGCCGATCCAGAGCAATCACGTTGTCGACGGCTCCGCGATTCTCTTCGGTTGGCGGGGGCGCTCGGGGAAGCGGCAATCCTTTCGGCGTGGCAAAGGTCTTCGGAAGCGTCTGGCCCTCCTTGTGGCCGACCACGAGGTGTGAACCGAAGAACATCGCCTCTTTCACGACCTTGTCCGAGGCGTAATGCTCCATTACAATCTCGCCCACCAACGCCAAGTGTCCGTTCGAGCGCACGGCCCTCGACTGCGCGGAGTAGTGCGTCAGGGCCTCCGCCAGGTACTGCGGGCGCTTGAAGCGATGATCCGTCTGTTGCTCTATTTCTGCCAGACTTGTGCCGGTAGCACTCGGGAACAGAAGCTTCACGGAGG